ATGGCTTTCCACTGCCAGAGGGCAGGGTTAATTGGGATCCTGGGAAGGAATTCTTCCTTGTGAGGGTGGTGAAGCACAAGCTTCCCAGAGAAAATGTGGTTGCCCCTGGATCCCTGGAAGTGTCCAAGGCCAGGTGGGCTGGGGCTTGGAACATCCTGGGATAGTGGAAGGCGTTCCTGCCCATGGCAGGGGGGTGGAATGAGATGATCTTGAAGGTCACCTCCAAAAAACCATTCCAGGCTCCTGTGATGGGAAGGCCGGAATTCTCCCACCTCAGTCCCCTTTGGCTCTCCCATCCTGGGACGATCAGGACAACCTTGGGATGCCAGTGAGGAGCATTTGAAGAGCAAATGGGAGATGTGGCACCATTTCCCTCAACTTTCCAAACAGATGAAATATGGGAAAGCCCACCCTGGGCCTGCGCAGCGACAGGCAGATCCTTAGGGAACAGCAGGAGCTGGGACATGGTGACAATGTGAGGAGAAATGGGAACACCAGGCAGAAGGGACTTGCAGGTTTCTTCTGTGCAATGTCCCCCAGTCCCCAAAATATTCCCTGTCACCACTGGAGCCCTCCCATCCCAAAAACCACTTGCAAATCAGGCTGCAAAATATGGATTGCAGTGGAAATGGAAGTCCAGCCCAGAATTATCCTGAGAAAAGGGATGAAAGTCCCGAGCCCATCACTGTTATTCCGCATTTGTTTTACATTCCCCGGGGGATATAATCCCCTTCTCCCGTGGGATCCCATAAAATCTTCAAACAAAAATTAGAGTGACATAACTTTGCAGAGCTGAATGTTGGGAGAGAGGGGGGTGAAATCTCCAGAGCACCCAGCCCTGTGTCCGTGTGTCCGTCCGTGTGTCCGGAGGCGGGAGCAGAGCTGGATCCCTGGGAGTGCAGGAAGAGGAGCAGCTGCCCACGGACACCCACACAGGGCCCTTTTTGTGCCCAAAATAGCCGCCCTCTCCCACAAGGAAGAGTGCAGGCTCCAAGGCCAAATCCCAGCTCCATTCCCAGCAGGGTCACGGGCAAGTCAAGGATATTTATGGGCTATTGAAGACAAAGACAATCCCTGTTCTTTATCCATCCCCAGGAAGAGACTCCAATGGCCCTGAGACGAAAGGCAGGAATTTAACCCTCCTTTATTCCCTCAGTTCAGCATGTCCTTTTTTTCCCAACCCACAGCCCTGAGCTTGGAATACAATCCAGGCATTTTCCTTCCACACTAAACAAAAGTTAATATCTGCAGAACCACCTAAAAATCTCCTTCCAAGTGTATTTTTTTTTTATTAATTCCATATATTTTTTTTATTAGAGTATAAGAAACAAGATGGAACATACACTTCACTTATACTTAGGTTAATATATTTAAAGGGATGGATGCTTCTTTATCCCACTTATCCTGTTACAATAAAGATAATACACAGTTACAAATCTCACAGATAGGAATTAGTAAAATCAGCATTTCAGGGAAACCACTGCAGATCATCCAACAAAGCTGAAATAAAACGTGAAATAAAAGCTGCAACATTTTATTGGCTTCATGTATTTTCATTTGATGAAACTGGAGGATTAGGGCTGGGAAGAAGTGCTCCCATGGAAAATGTTGGACTTTGGGAAGCCTCTTAAGCCTTTTATTTCTCAATTTCCATGATCAGAACAAAGCTGGATGAATTAAAACCTTCAATCTGTCTCTGCTGATGATGATTCTCTGCTTTGAGTGCAATTATTTGGTTTGAGGCAGCTCATCTGCCTTGATTTCAGAGATTTGGACTTCAAAGTTCCTCCACCAAGACTGGCAAAAGCCAGTAGGTGGCAGGACCAACCCAGGGCTTCGCTTCCCTGGGCACCGTGGGCATTCCCAAAATGCAAAACCGGGCGTTTCTGTTCCCATTCCCATTTAAACAGCCTCAGAGAGGGGTGAAATAACTCCTTCAGGATCAAGGATCCAGAGCCACCTTCATCCCAAACAGCTGAGACCAACCAGAGCAAGGGAAAGAGCCCTAAACCTCCAGGCATCCAGATGTGCACCACATCTGCCTTTTCCAGAGGGCATGGATCCTACAATTCATCCCATGGACACAAAGACACCCCCACCTGAGCTTCCCACGGGGTGGTGGGACCACAGCCTCCTTTTTTCACGGCAAATAAAGTCCCTGGGAGATAAATCCCTTCAAAAAACCCCCAACTTGAGCAAATCAACACCAATCCAGGACATCCCTGCAGCAGCAAAGTGGATCCTTGGAGTAATAATCAAGAAACTGACCTTTTGTTCTCTTGGAGCAAGGAAGTCAGGTTTGTGGTTTCAAAAAAGAAATTTTGCCCTTAAAAAAAGAAAACAATTCTTAAAACCGGCTGGAAGAACTGTGCTCATTTTGAAGTCCTTTTCTTGGGCAAACAGCAAACCCCCAGACCCTGGGTGGGAAGCGCTGATGCCACAATGGATTTTGAGCATTTTTAGATAATCCACAAAAATTCAAGCCCTTGGTGGGGTGGTGGGAGATGGCAGCAGCTGCTGGTGAATTACAGCCATTTCCAGGATGGAAGCACTGAAAGCATTTTCTCAGGAACACACTCCAAAGTGGGCAGGTATTTCACTTTAGCTCTTAATTTCCAGTAAAAACTCTTCCAGGATATTTGATGCTCCTAGGGAGCCAAACCTCCTCCCCTCATAACCTCTTGTCTTGTCAGGACAGGTGAATATCTGAGTTTTCTGCTCAGATTTTGATATCTTAAATTTCCACAGTCCACAGAAACATATCCAAAGCACTTCAGGGCTGTCCCACCACAGCCCTCAAATTCCAAATCCAGCATTTGGATCAACAACCCACCCACCAGTCTGAACACTTCATAAATCCCATTGGTTTTCCTACTTATTGTCTTATTATTAATGATTTTAATTACTTCACCTGCCCATTTTTAGACATGGGTTTTACAACAGATGAGGCTCTCACCAGGTTTGTCATTCTGGGGATTTGGAGGCAAAAAATAAACCCAGGGTAGGATCAGGAATTGAGAGCTGGCATGACTGATGGGAAAGTGCTTGGGATTCAACTGTGACAAGCTGTCAACCCCCTCCCTCTCTCAAACACACATGGATCTATCCAAATGTCTTTTTGCCAGGAAAGGAAAAACTGAAAATATCCCTTTTTCCCTATTCTAGATTACAGTACATGGGAAGGCAGAGACAAAAAGAGAGCGAGGAAGCAAAACAAATCTCCTTGTGAAATTTATCCAACAAACCTTCAGGTCACTCCCCTGGCAATTCCATGAACATAATTTGTTATTTTTTGGGATAAGCAGCCTCTGGATGCTCCTCCCATGAGCCTTTGCTCCCTGCCACAACCAAATCCTTGGCACTGGCCAAGAAACCCCAAGAAAAGAAGGAGATGGCCCTTGGAGGGGACAACCAGGGCCCTTGGAGGGGACAACCAGGTCTTCAGCCCATGGGGTTGTCCAGTCTGGCATCATCAGGATCCTCATAAAAGCATGAATGGACATCAGGACACAGCTGATGGCTTTGAAGTTCAGCTCTTTGCTAAAGGTAATCAAGTCCCAAACCAACCCCAAAACCTTTTTCCAGATGGCCAGAAAAGACAGAGCCCCCTAAATTCAATGCAGAGTGCTCTGGGTGCCACCTCAGTGTCACAGCGAGCGCTGAGGGACAAATGAACCCAAAAAAATGAGGTTTTGAACCCTTTTGGGGGGAAGGCTGAGGCACAGGGAAGTTGGGGAATATTCATCCCAGTTGAGGAAGTTTTTCCCCAATTTTCCCTGTGGCCCACGTGCATAGTAGAGGTTTGTGGGGCACCTCGGGCCCCAAGGTCCCAGGAGGATGCATTATCCAAAGGAAGGCACATCCAAGGACCAGCACAAGTGATGCATTCTTCCCAAATTAACCACTAAATTGCAGACCACATCCCAGTGACCCATCCCTCCTGTTGGAAAAGCTGTCATTAACATCTCTGTCACTTTAATTAAAACAGGGGGAGAAGGGAGGGGGGGAAAACATAAAAACCACTTTTGTTACCAATATTTCTGTACAACTACAACCACCTTTCATTTATCACTACCTGAAGAGGGGACAGAGGTGGAACTGAAAGTTTGTGGAGCTTTTGTTTGGGTTTTGACACAGAATAGGAGAAGCAGGTACAAAGCATGGCTAAAATGTACCAACGTGGCTAAAATGTGCCAACACCTGGGTTTTGCTGCTAGAAATAGAAAAAAAAAGCCCAGTGCACCTCTGATCAATCAGTGGAAGTGACAAAAAGCTTGAACTTGACAGTTTAAGGCTGAATTTTGGCTTGGTTTGTGGCGAGCAGGTCCACAGGCAAGCAGTCTAGGCAGGACAGATGATACAGAGAGGGCAGGAGGTCACATCTCCCATGGGACAGCTGAGAACTTCTAGGAAAAACCTTGCCAGAACACCTGGGAAGATCCTGGGAGCTGAGGGACAGCAGATGTGGAAGGTTGAGTGGTGAAGTCACTTCCAGCAGTCCATAGGCACCATCAGGCATTGAAGGTTGGACCTAAAAATCTGGGTATTGACATCTTCCCCTCTGACTCCACCACATTTTTCAGACCTGTTGCCCACGGTCATTCAGGTATCGCCATTGTGATGGTCACCATGACAAGTCCAAAGTGGGGAAACTGAGGCACCGAGTCTTTGTAAAATGCAGATTCAGTTCAGAGTCCTCCTGCCAGGGTAATTGCTCAATTAGAGTTGACTCAGACCCCAAAACCTGGCATTTCCCACTAAAATGCACCTGGAAAAAGTCATTCCCAAGGGAGGTGGAACAAGCTGGCCCAGAGGTTTTTATCAGGAAGGACAGCAACAGGGAGGAGATGGATTTGCTGCTCACAACTGGAAAGGATGTGGAGATGAAGCACCCAAAGCTGCTCAAGAGGGTGAGGGACCCTCGTGCTGGGTACAATATTGGGATTTTCCATGAAAGAGTTCCTAATCCCTGGAGCAAGGAAACACACACACGTCCCATCTCAGGTAACAACAGGAGCAAGTTTATTCAGGTCTGGCACTTACAGAACTTGGAAGGACAAGGTACACGGCATTGGTTTTCCAGAAAAGTCAGCCCAGGATCAGAAGAAACGAGACTATTTTATAAAAAGAGACTGCAGCTGTGAGGGGCCAGGAATGTGTCTCCCTTTGGATCCTGCATTCCCTCTGCCTGTGCCACCCATGTGCTGGAGCAGACCTGGTGGTGCTTGGGGTGAATCTGTTCTCAGCGAGTCCCAGCCTGGTTTAACCAACCTTAGAAATTAGGGGGTGGGGGATTATTAATAGGTAGAAAAAGCAGAAACCCTTCCAAAATCATCCACCTTGGCGAAGGAGGAGCGAGAGTGCAGCGGGAGACGTCCACAGGAGGAGGAGAACAGCTCGGCCAAACCACCCAGGTCTCCAACGCTTGGAAGAGCAAAAAAAGTCCGGGAAACAATCACCTTGGAAGCCTGCTGAGAAGTAGAGGATCTCCTTGCAGACAGCAACAGAGAAGATATTGGCTAACGAGACCCGTGGGAGGCGGCTCTTCCTCAGGCAGCCCCATCACTGGCGAGCCTGGAGGACGTAGATGAAGCTGATGAGAATTCCCAAGGCCAGGATGGCGTAGCTGGCTCGGACGCTGCTGGAACCGCTGATGTTGCAGAGGAAGGAGTCGCAGCAGTAAACGGAGGCGGCCGCTATTCCCAGGTTGATCCCGGCGCTGGGGCAGATGGGAGAGCATCCCTTCGAGATAGACTGGCCAGATTTGCCGCCTGGATTTGGGGTGGGGTGGAGAGGAAGGAAAAGAGGGAGGTTTAGAATGGGGGTTTTTTTGGGTTTCTGATCACCTGCTGTGCAAAGGAATTACAGCACTGGAAGAGCCGGGGAGGTGCAGGTGGCACAGGGAGGATGAAGTGCTCCGGAGAGCATGAAGTGGTTCTCGGAGTCAGGAATCCCAGCCAGCCCATCTTATCAAGGATCACCTGTGATAAGCTCACACAAACACCCCAGAGACCACACAACACCCCATGGACACCCCTTTGGATTGGTCAATGTTCAGCTGCAAGGGCTTCTGTGAGGAATCCCAAAAATCCCTCTTGAGCTTCACTTTGGGGCTCCTCAAGGGAGACAAGGAGCCCTGGGGAGACACTTGGGAGCCAAGTCTGCATTTCCAGAGAGGCACAGCCCAGGTTAAGAAGCAGGCAAGAGGAAACCATTAGCACTGGGCTACGAAGGGAAGTATATAAAAGCTCCTGGTCTCTGTGTGTGCACATCTGACCCACCCACGCTGCAGATTTGGGCACGAAACTCCCCCTCCTCCTGCCAGGGAGAGCCAGGATGGGCTCTGGTTCCTGCAAAGGCTCCAGGAGATCTGCCACAGCATCCCTCAGCACAGCATCTGGGAAGGACAGAACCGCCCCAAATCTCTCCAGGCACTCAGGAAGGAAACCCACAACCCTCCCTTCCCGCCTCGTCCACGGAAAGCGAAGCAAAGGTGGGACTCAGGGACGAAGAACCCAAACACGAGGCAAAAAAATCAGCAGGAATAGCAACCCTGGAGCTTCCCACACAGGGAGCCTGCAGCATCCTCCACGCTTTCACTTATTCATCAGCAAAATCCCCGCCCCCAGCCTGAAATTCCCCCCAGACTCGCGGGCATCGGTGCAGGCACGTGGGTTTTAACGTGACTCCTCCTGGCAGCGCGTCCCTCCTCAGAATTCCCGTGGGATGGTCCGACACTCAGTTGCTAAGCAGAACTTTCCCCTTTTTTCCCCCCCCGCCCCCAGCCAGAAGAAGGCAAAGCCTCACTGCAGCTCAGCAGGTGACCCAGGAGAGAAGCCAGGAGGGGCAGGAGGAGGTGCTGTCACCACTCACCGAGTCCCACTCCGACGTACGTCGTCACGCAGTGGTTTTCATTCTCTCCACACTTGACAGGCGTCAGGCAGGCCCAGTTGGAGGAGGCATCCGAGCAGGAAAAGCAGACGAGCGTGTGGGCTGCAAGAGAAAGGCAAACCTCATTTAGGGGCTGGTGGGAAGATGTCCTCACTTGGAGGTCCCCACCTCTGTCCCACAGGACGTCTTGCATCTGCCCACAGCAACACTTTCTGTTTTATCAACCTGCAATAGGGGATTTTTTTTTTTTTTCCCAAAAAAATTGGCCAAGCAAAGGGTTCAAGCCTCAGGGAGGCATTTCAGGCTCTTATCAGCAAAAGCTGATACAACCACAGCCTGGTACTTTCTGTCACTGCCCTGTTTGCACCAAGAATGTGTCCGAGCTACAGCTGCCAACTTTAAACCAAATTCCAGAGGTGATTTTTTGAGGTTTGAGCTCATTCAGCTCAGCCACCACAGACATGGTCTCCCTGCCTGGGGCAGGGGGGCTGGAACTGAATGATTTTTAGTCCCTTCCAAGCGAAACCATTCTGATTTTATGATTCTGTGACACTGATGGGAAATGCTCCAAGTGTGACCATAGGTTCAAACTTTCCAAGACCCGGCTTTGGGCACCAAGATCAAGCCATGCTTGAGCTACAGCACATGGCAGAAATAGTTTTTCAGCTGCAGAAAGCTCAAGACCTGCAAGACCAGCAGGTCTCCTAAAATTATAGAATCGTGGAATCATTTCAGGAAAGGACCTCTAAGAACTTTGAATCCAACCATTAACCCAGCACTGCCAAATTCCAGAACTGAACCAAGTCTTTAGGCAACACAGCTGCACAATTTTTTCAACAATTCCAGAGATGGTGATTCCACCCTTTCCACCCTTTGGTGATTTGACCAGTGAAGAAATTTTTCATTTCCAAACTAAGCCTCCCCTGGAGCAACTTGAGGCCATTTAAGGCTTATCCTACAGCAGCAGGATGGACCAGCTGGCTCCCATCCCTCATCCCTCACAAAGAGGAATGATTGGAAAACAGCATTTGGGGTGGGAAATGGTTGTGGAGGCAGCCTGGACCAGAGACTCAGCAGGGCCACAGGCACTTTGATCTCTGTATTTTACACACAAGAGCATCACATCCACGCTGCAGTTGTTGACCTACATATGCAGACAGATCAGGTCTGTTCCCAATCTTCTGTGGACTCTGGATTTTGGAGCTCCCAGGCAGCCCTTCCACGAGGCACTGCCTTTCTCTTTCTGTATTTATGGGATGCAAAACAGAGCGGGGGCTGATTGAGAGTGGGAAGTGCGAGGCAGCCCCATCCCTGCTCCTTCAGCCCCACCACAAATGGATTATCACAAATCATGGAATGGTTTGGTTTGGAAGTCAGCTTCAGGATCATTCAGTTCCAACCCCCTGCCTTGGGACACCTTCCACTATCCCAGGGTGCTCCAAGCCCCATCCAACCTGGCCTTGGACATTTCCAAGCGTGGGGCAGCCACAGCTTCTCTGGGAAACCTGTGCCAGGGCCCCACCACCCTCACGGGGAAGAATCTCTTCCCAATATCCAACCTAAACCTACTCGCTTTCAGTCTGAAGCCATTCCTGCTTGTCTTATCCCTGTAAAAAAATCCCTCCCCAGCTTTCTTTGGACCCTCTTGGAATATTTTCCTAAGGAAGTGAAGCAGGGGAAGCCTTGGGGGAGCTCCCTGAGGCTCAGCAGTTCCTGACATGGGTATTTTGAAGAATTATTATTTGGACAAATATTGCTCAGCATCTGCCCCACTCTGCCACAGGACTGCACCACAGCTTAAGGTTCTTCTCCTTCCTGTTTCTCTCAGGAAATAAATGGCTTCTACAAGAAAAATGAGAAAAAAAAAATAACAATTGCTCTCAGAGGAATGACTTTTGAGCAGCCACAGCCGAGGAGGAGAAAGAAAACAAAATATAATCTCACAGAAACAGATTAAAGTGGGTTAGTGGGAGATCCTGAATGTCACAGCAGAGCAGCCAAATCTCTGCTTTGGAGTGGAAGCCAACACCACAACCCCCCAAGCAGGAATTCCCTGGACTGGCTCACGCATCCTCCAAGGATCCTTACTCTGGAAACAATCCCCACAACAAACCCGGGTTACCTGAGCACACCAACGCAGCCACCACAACCCACACACGGGGATTACAGGGCCACCAGCTGAGTCAAAACCTCCAGCAGAGATTCCTCAGTGGATCTCTGCGTTTAGGAGATGAGGATGGGACCAGCCACTGAATCACTGCCCCTCTGGGCTGGCCACAGCTCCATGTGGGGACCTCGGAGTGAAGCCAAGTCTCAGGTGACCTGTCCCAAACTCTACCTGACAACCACCCCGAGGAGGTGAATTGACTCATCCCAGGAATCTCCAGCAATCAGGAATGAAGTGGATTACAGGTTTCCTGTAGGTATGCTGGCAGGACAGATGTCCCCATATGCATTTGCTCACTGCACTGAAGGTACAGTGGTGCAATGCTGTTCATTAAAGGTTCCCGTAACAACACACCAGAAATCTTTGGACATGACATAAAAGTGCTGTTGGGCATGAAATTCTCTGCCACGTGACTCAATCCCTGCTCCTGCCACTGCATGTCCTACCTGTCCCCATGTTTTTCATTGTCACACCTACCCATTACCCCTTGTCCTAACAGGAAAAAAAAAAAAATCCTTCCAGGAGAGGCAGAGTTTAAGAAACGAAATATTCAGGCACTTTCTGCCCCAAAAAAACACCCACTTGCAGAGTTATGAGAGCACAAACAGGCTGAGTGGTTTAGACAAAAGGCACAAGAGGAGTGGCAGAAATAATTTCATGCAGCTGTAGACGGAGCAAAAGAGTTGGAGCTCAAGGTTACAAGAAAATTAAAAAAGGGGGAAAAAATCACAAGACTGAACAATGCAAAAGAGAAGCCTTGTTTTCACCAGTGGAAGAATTCATATGTTTATTTGCTGCTTGGCTTCTCAGAGGAACAAAGAGCTCCCAAAACAGAGCAGGGCATTTGGGGGAATTCCTTCAGATAAGGGGTTGAATCATTCTAGCAAAGACAGGGGGAAAAAAGGCCTTTAAAAGCCCACTTTGGAGCTCGTTAGCACCAGGAAAATGCTGTGGCTTCGGCAGCTTTTCCATTCGGCCCCGATGTTGCTTTTCCATTCTCTTAGGCAAAATCCTTATCAAGATCCACAGGCAAGATCTTCGAGCAGGAGGTAAAGCTTTTCTGTGAAATCCTCCCAGGATGTTCTGGAAGTGTTGGAGGATAAAACCACCTGCAGCAAACCTTTTGCCTGCATAAAAACTTACTTTTAAAGCTGAAGGGGTTGTGGGGTTTTTTTTGGTTTGGTTTTTTTTTTTTTTG